ACAGTATAATGAGCTGTTGAATTCCAAAGAAATTTTTTATGTCCACAATTTAACTGTACAAGACAGAGATGACAGATTAAATGGTCAAGTTGAAGGCCAAAATCATAACTTCATATTGGTCAAGGACATGATGAACCTTGTGGTAAATGACAGATATAATTGCTACTGACATGCATTGTGTTGTACAAGGACATCTTTTTTAATTGGTTTAGAGAAATTTTGTCTTATTGTATATTGCATTTGTCAATTAAACTTGGAAGTTTCTATTCCCCCCCCCCCCCCCCCCCCCCCCGATAACTCTTGTCACATTTTTGGATGCATAATACATGTATTGCAAGATCAAGAATCATCAAACTTGGTCAGGTTTTGCATCTTTGGGGAAAGTGTTTCACATTTACTCAAAAATAGGTCATTCTGACCACATTTTTGAAGTTTATAGCTCTCAACTTGTGTCTAGGTCAAATGACTCACACTGTGAAGCCTTTAGGACCATCAAACCTGATCAGTTGATGCATCATTTGGAGAATAAGTAGCATGATCCAAAAGTAGGTCTGTGTCAGTATAGAGCCATGTGTCCAGTATAAAAAGAGAACTTCAATGTATGTTACAGTAACTTTATACTAATGCAAGTCAAACTTCGTTATCTCAGACTCAATGGGACCTGAAGAAAAAACTTCGAGATATCCAAGGATTTGAGATATCCAGGGTAAAAGATTTAAAGTATAAGGTTTAAAGAATAAGGGGTTGGGACACCCTGATCACTTTGTCATATCCATGGTATTTGAGATATCAGTGTTTGAGATACTGAAGTTCAACTGTAATTGTACAGATGACAGGGTCACAGGTTATGACTTGTACTCTAACAGTGCACTTTCTTGTCAGAGCATTTAACAAAATGCATTCTTTAATGGATCATATGTTTAGATCAGCTTCAAATGATGCCTTATTATTGTTGATTAGATCAGTATCTTGTTTGGTCTCAGTGATCTCTTTTGGTCCAATTCCTGTGTGTAATTTCAGTTAACTGAGGCTGTGTATTGATGTATAACAGAGTGATGTAGGCCAGCAGCAGTGGAAACTGTTGTGAAGTGACAATTTGTCTTTACACTTTGAATTATATATAAGGCAGCTTGCAGAACATTACAGAAATATTCTACATTCTCATTTTTTTTACTCGTAAAGCATTGTTTGGTAGGCTTAAGCCTGATAAATCTTAAGTCTAATTTGAGATTTTCCTCCGAGACATACTGTAGATCACCAAATTTTCATGACTCCTTATTTTTGCAAGATATGTATTTGGTATTTGTAAGGGAGACAGAATTTTCATGAATTCGGGTTTTTGTTGTATATACTGTAACCAATACTAATAAAATATACATGGGAATAAAATGTTTGCAAGCAGACCATCTTGTGTAATTCATGAAAATAATTAATTTCTCACATGTAAAAACACGTCCAGTCGGGCAAGTGGGGAAACTTCTAGATATCAACAACTCACATCCAGTTTTCACTGAAAAATTTTAACCCTTGTAAATCAAGAATTTTAAAAGTTTTATTGAAAATACGCATTTTAGTTTGCAAGAATATTGTTGACATCCATATCACTTTTCTTGATTGCTGAAATAATGTGATTTTCTTTCATTACTTCGGTAGATTTGTATGACTACGAGTTTAATATACTGTGGAATCATCATTGTTCATGGGGGACCAATGTTCTTGGATTTTATGGGTCACTCTTAGCCCAACGAAGGATTATTTTGTCAAAGTACACACAGATTGATTGAATCTAATGAAAAAATGAGTTACCAAGGAATTCTGTCCCCACAAACCAGTAAAAATTTGCTTGCTCATGAACATTGATCCCCTACCAATTAAAATGATTCCACAGTATATTGATGTTATTGTAAAGGTGATAAAGAAGATTTGTGAACATTATAATAGTATCAGCTAGGCTCCAGTTTCATGACTGTGAATTAAGGAACAAAGCCACAGGAATTCCATGTAAAGTTAGGTATACTGTATACAGGGAAATTTTTGCCCCCGTTTTATTTTTGCCTCTTTTGCCATACTCACGGGAGCAAATTTAAAACGGGGCAAATTCAATAACACAGTATAATTTCTTAAAGAGAACTGTGACTGGGCGAATTGAAAACAGGGCAAAATTGTTTGGAAGTGTGAAAGGGCAAAAATAACACAATGTGAAAATAACCCTCTTTACAGTATCTAGCCTGCATCACAGAAAATTGATGCTCTGTTTTAAAATTGTACATTCATGCAGTGGCCTCAGCTTGTGAAATGCAGACTTCCGATATAATGAATTTTGGTTTGACGAGACATTTAAACCAATGTCCCAAGCATCTTGTTATACCCTATACCAAGATTCCATTGTTAATATTGTTAAACTAGAAATATGTCCCTAGGACATGAATGCCCCACCGAGGGTATATTAGTTATGCAACATGAAAATTTGTATTAGTGTATGAAATCTGATGAGAATATCTTGAATAGTTTCTTTAAAATTGAAATCTAACAAGTTTGATATAGATAATAAATTCTCACCAAATTATGTATAAGTGCATAAGTTTACATAAATATATCTTAAATGGTTTCTTTAAAACTAAGCAAAATGCAAATTTAAGAAAGGTGAGCTCAAGGTCACAGGAAAGTTCAAGGTCAAACATTTTTGATGCAGTTGAATAGTTCTCACATATACAAATCAGAATATTAAGTTTGATAAAAATATTTTGAATGGATTATTTAAAACTGAGCTAAACACTAATTTAAAATAAATGAAGTTAAGGTCAAAGGAAAATGTCAAGGTCAAAAAATGTTGATGCATTAGAAAAGCTTACATCAGTATGTATTAGCTTATGAAGTTTGATAAAAATATTATATTCTTTAAAACTGAGTTAAACCCAAATTTATATAAGTGAGGTCAAGGTTAAATGAAAGGTCAAGGTCAAAAATGTTGATACAGTTGAATAGCTTACATCAATATGTAATCAGCATATGAAGTTTGACACTAATTTAAGAAAAGTGAGGTCAAAAGGTCAAAGAAAAGGTCAAAGTCAAAAATATTGGTGCAGTTGATTAGCTCTCATCAGTATGTATTGATCATGATCAGCATGTGAAGTTTGATAAAATATCTTGAATGGTTTCTTTAAAACTGAGCAAAACACTAATTTAAGAAAAGTGAGGTCAAGGTCAAATGAAAGGTCAAGGTCAAAAGGTGTTGATGCAGTTGAATAGCTCTCATCAGTATGTATCAGCATATGAAGTTTGATAACACTATCCTGAATGGTTTCTTTAAAACTGAGCTAAAAACTAATTTAAGAAAAGTGAGGTCAACATCAAAGGAAAGGTCAAGGTCAAAAAATGTTGATGCAGTTGAATAGCTCTCATCAGTATGAATCAGCATATGAATCAGCATTTGAAGTTTGATAAAAACATCCTGAATGTTTCTTTAAAACTGAGCTAAACACTAATTTAAGAAAAGTGAGGTCAAGGTCAAAGGAAAGGTCAAGGTCAAAAAATGTTGATGCAGATAAATAGCTTTCATCAGTATGTATCAGCATATTAAGTTTGATAAAATATCTTGAATGGTATCTTTAAAACTGAGCTAAACACTACTTTAGGAAAAGTGAGGTCAAGGTCAAAGGAAAAGTCAAGGTCAAAAAATGTTGATGCAATTTCATAGCTCTCATCAATATCTATCAGCATATGAAGTTTGATGAAAATATCTTGGATAGTTTCTTTGAAAATGAGCTTTGAACTGAGCTAAACCCAAAGTGTGACAGAAGGACAGACAGAGGGACGGAAGGAAGGAAGGACGGAAGATGGACATGACAAACACTATATGCCCCGGCCATATTCATGGAGGGGCATAAAAATGAAGTGTTTTCTTTTGAATGATTAGATTCAGCCAACCCCATATTATGTTTAGGCAACTAAATTTTCCTAGTGTCAACTTGCTAACTTGGCATTGATTTCTATTCCTCAGAGACTATTTAATTCTAGTCCTATTGACACAGTACCAAGGTATAGGTTCTGCACTACATCTTAAATATCTTACTGAACATGCAGGGATATATCACAACATTTAGTTAATTAGAGAGAAAGTATGTATATATAGTTAAATTCTTTTCTTTTTCTGGTGTCAGAAATTGCATAATGGATTGTTTAGGAATTCTCCCACAAATAATTTTTGTAGCTTTATTTTCAGAACATAACAATAAACTATAGGCTTAGCATGTCAGTCATTGTCTTTTGCCCCCTCCCCCCCCCCCCCAAAGAAGGAGCTGTGATGCAAAATTGTGTGTATAAATTATAAGACCAGTGTCATTAGAATGATAGAAACACCAGACTACTGGGTACTGTATTTGTGTATTTGTGGTGTTCACTTTATTAATTTCATTGGGATTTTTTTTTATTTAGACTGTACTTAAGGGGGGAAAATTGACACAGGGTGTTTACAATTCAGATTCAATCCCTGTCTCACTAGATCAATATGTTGAAATAAACTTTCATCTACAGCAGAATACAATAGCGGTATGAAAAGTTCAAAGAGAGATATAGGACATTGATGTTGCTATTGCAATTTTTTTATTGTTTACCTGTTGGTGTAATATTTTGTCTGTGACCGTACATTGGATATAATGTGATGTTATGGTGTCTGTAGAAAATTGATATACTCAAGGTGCTGCTTGTTAGAGTTATTAGATGCTTCTGGGAATGAACAAAAGATAAATTTTTGGTTAAGGAAGAATGGATTCTTATCATGTGCAAAATGAGGAATATCTGATGGGAAATGAGAAATATTTGCTTGAACTAACAGTAATAAGTTTTCTTATTTATTGCTGCCTTTTTAACAAAGTTGGTGTGCTAGATGAATATAAAGAAAAAAATATTTCGACAAAGCAGAGGTTAAAAAAAAATCAGTAGCAATTAAGTGTCATGAGGGAAACATGCATTATTTAAACACTGGAGAAAAAAAATAGAAAATCAATCTACAAATTGGGGATTCACTAATTACGTTACAAGGTATACAGATGACATTTGTACTTTGATTTAGCTGTGAAAGTGTTCAGTTTCAGAGGACAATGATCTGTTAATAAGACGCGCCTTAATCCCTAAAGAATTCCATTAATTAGATTTATAAGACATATAACAGCACCTAGACTATCATTGAGACGTTTGGATATGTGAGAAAGAGAGAGTTCCAAGTGCTACGTTTGTGTGCTAGGGATGTGAACAGTTGAAGTGTCACCGTTTAACTACTGCTAGCTTAATATGAAGCTGTGAAATCAATGAGGCAGTATAACTAGGCCTGTATTTTTTTGGCACGTCTTTTTTGTTCTTCACTTAGTGCCGATTAATATCATAGACAACATGGACTTATCAAATCTATCATGACAAGGAGGTAGGTAATTCTTGTTTCCTCTTTTTGAAATTGTGTTGTTAGACGTTTCAAACCCATGTATTTATATATACTTGTATTGTTATTTATTACATTTTCAACAGTGAAATACTGTAATTTATTACATTTTCAACAGTGAAATACTGTGATTTATTTATTGAATAAAAGTGATATTCTGTCACAGTGTGAAAGGATACAAAAATGATATTCTCTCACAGTGTGAAAGGATATCAAAATAAGTAAAAAATAATTTCTGGCCTGCCATAAGATAGAGATAGTAACTAACCATCTTGATAGAGCTAAAACTCCAAATTTCTTCCTAAATATGCTGCTAAAATCCATGCTATGTAATGTATTCAATCTCACAACTGGTAAGCTATGACGTCTCAACTGCTCAACTATGACGTCAAGCCTATGACACTGTGTTAAGACAGAGGCAAAGGGGAAATAAAGAAAATGTACTGAACAGAAAATTCAATGTTTTGTAGATGAATATGGAATTTATTTCACGAGTGGGACAGGATTTTTTGATATTTTCACTCGTGCTTCGCACTCGTGAAAAAATCAAAAAATCCTGTCCCACTCGTGAAATAAATTCCATATTCATCTACAAAACATTGAATATTCTCTATTTTTTATTGAATATAAGTGATATTTTGTCACAGTGTAACAGAATATCAAAAGACTTGATTTTCTTTCCTTTCATGAAGAATGTTGTAACAAGTATTCCCTCAGGCCTGATATAAGATAGAGAGAATAAATATGTCTTCCTGACATACCGTATATACTTGCCTATAATTCGGTTTTTTGGGAGTTAGATTTTGGTCCAAAACTCTATGTCCAACTTATAGGCGAGTCATTAAAAACTGGTATTTTTCTGGATGACCAAATATGACTGAATATAATATATCATTTATGTATTCTAAGATTATACATAAAGTACAAGTATTTACAAATTTTAATGATTTCATTTTTAAATGTGCATTACTTATTTGTTTAATGATTTAAAATTAAATTTCATCGCCATTTCTAGAAATATTAATTGAAACCAGGTTAAATATCAGAGCATTGATTTGAAATTGTCGACTGATTCTGGCAAAAAGTTGTACCAACTTATAAGCTGGTCAGTGGCAAATTCATCCAGTATAACCTCAAAAAATACAACCGACTTATAGGCGAGTATATACAGTAGACTAAAACTGCCAAAGTTTCTCCAAATACCAACATTTACAATGTGTTCAGTCTCACAATTGCTAAGGTATGACATCGCAACTGCTCAACTATGATGTCACAGCTTATCATATGATACAATGTTATGAAAAGACAGAGGCAAAGGGAAAATCAAAGAAAATGTAATATAAAACAGAAAATTCAGTATTTTGTAGTTGGATATGGAATTTATTTCACTCGAGAGACAGGATTTTTTTTACCGGTATCTTTTATAATATAAAAAAAATCCTATCCTACTTTTGAAATAAATTCCATATCCAACTATAAAACATTGAATATCGTCTTTATACATAGAAGATATTCAATGTTTTATAGTTGCATGGATATGGAATTTATCTCATGACTGGAACAGGATTTTTTATGAGTGCTTAGCATGAGTGAAAATATAAAAAAAATCCAGTCTCACAAGTGAAATAAATTCCATATCCAACTACAAAACATTGAATTTTCTGTTTATTACATTTTCTTTGATTTTACTTTAGCCTCTTTCTTTTCGTAAAGCAGGGTCGTAGGCTGTGACGTCATATTTTATTATTACAAGATTGCAAATTGTAAAAATGGATATAAACAGCAATTTGGAGAAACTTTGCTAGTTTTAGTTTTAGTCTGTGTCAGAATGGTTTATTTACTCTCACTTTCTTATAATAGGGAGTATCTTCTTTATAACATTCTTTGTGAAGGGAATGAAAATTGAGAGATTTGTTGCACTTGTGATTTTTTCACAGTGAAAGATATCACTTTGAGAAATATCACTCTCAAAATATCAGTTTTATTCAGTGTATAAACTGCAGTATTTCACTATTGAAAATGTAATAAACTAGATTATTATTCTTTTATATGTACCACTGTGGTATGGTTATTAAACACTGAAAAATTGACATTTATTCCTTAACAGACTTCATGTGAAGTATTTGAGATTTGGAATCTTACAGTGGCATTAATTCAGTTATTTACAGAACAAGAACTTCCATGCTTAATTGTGTCACTTAAAACCTGCTCACACAACCTGCTGAAGTTATAATGAGTTAGTCAATAATAATTTGGAAGCGAACCATGAAAGCATAGACTGTTACGGTGTTTGCTTTTAACTTCAGAATGAAGAAAAATCAATCATAGGTCTATGATGGAGAAAACTATTACCAAACCACATTTTTTTTCTACGATCTACGTATCATCATGGATTGCTTTAGTATTGTCGGAAGAAAAGAAAATGTCGCAGATCCTGAATTGTCAACCCAATTAAGCTTAATGCAGCAAAACACTAAAATAATCATGAGGGTACTATATACTGAAGCTATGCTTTTAAAAACCCATGTGACTGATAGAGCTGATGGACTGTATGATCTGTTATTACAATCTTCAAACATAGGGGGGACCTATACTTAGATTGGTTTAGATATAAAACTGATGTTATCTGAAATGCTTTCAAAACTACCATCATCATAAATCAATGGTAACTGCATGAATAATTTAATTTATAACAAAGTACTTTTTGCAAGATGTTCAACTGTAAAACTTGTAAAAAAAAACCTGCAATCTTCAAAACATTTCCTATTATGGGAATAATTTTTTTTAGCTCTACTGGTTGAAGATTACAATCTTATGCTATAATGGTAACATGTCTACCTGTTGAACTGTCTGTCTGCTTGTCAGTGCTACTCTTTATTTGGTCTGATTTCAACTACAAGAAGATACTGGTACATAATTCTGTATAGCAGTGTTTGGTTTGTCATGAATGATGTTGCCATGGTTACCAGAAATTGAAATTTCTGTGACATTTTATTTGCCACTCCTATTCAATTATGGCTAATGATTCTGATGAGAAAAGGGACATTATAACCTACCAGTTGGTTCAAGTTTGCAAGAATGTGCACATGGATTGGATATCCTTAAAGTCCAATCACTTTTTAAGTGGGTTTCTCAGTGCAAGATCAAACCTGCTCACAGCACCAAATTATAGTATACCTTTATTGTACTGTAATGAACAAACTACATCAATTACATTTGTATATTAAATTACCAGTACTTAGGAAATGATTCAATGACAAAGGCGATTCCTTTCTATTAATATGTATACATGTATATATGTACTGTTGTATCTGGCGTATGAAATGATTTTATTCTTGGAATGTTGTTTTGAATGTTTTGACAGTAGTGAAATAGCATTCACTATTTGTAAAAGGCAGTAGCTAGTAGATGAACAAAGGAAGAGGTCCATATATATTAATTTGCATTTGATCATCAAGCATATAAAGAAGTTATTTACTAGACTAGTAAGGGTTGTATAACCCTAGATTGAATAAGGAATTATACTCTATAATTGATCTCTATGTGAGGGGAGTGGTGCTTCACTTTTGGGTGCCCTGGGCTAACTTACCAGGGGTAATGTTTCTTTGAAAATCAAAATCTTTGTTACAATCATCTCCAGAACTTCTGCTAAAGGTTTACAAAGTGCCCTTTATACACGTGATGCCCTACAAAAGAACTGAAGAGAACTTGCCATTTACAGACATCTTTTTGATGAATCTTTATGCAGTATTCTTTGGACCTATCAACAGTTTTATATACTCTCAATTGATTATCTGTAGTGATACATGGATCAGTGTAATGGGTAATCGCTGGACACAAACATGGAAGTGCCAGAGCACAATTCTCAGGTCTTCTGTTAAGTATAGCTGGATATAATATGAATAATATTCCCTGCCGAGCAGACCTCATACATTTCTCAGGCTCTGTGTATTTTATTATTATTCTCCTATTGTTGGTTTGTCATGTATTGTAAGAAAAAAAGTAATATGAGTTGTTTTATGACCAAGATAGCTAATAAGTGGTAAAGTATTGGGAGGCGAGTCAATTTATGATATCTTATCGGAATAGCCTGCTGTTGTATACCATTAGGATTAATTTTTATATAGGATATTTTTCAGCACAAAAATTCTAGTGCACTACTCGTTAATCATACAACACACTCTGTACTCATTAGAATTGCAGTGCTGATGTAACTCCCTCTAACATATCAGTGATTAAAGGAAATGGGACTGACTGTGTTCTCTTAATTGACAAGTCATTTACTTCTTGACCATGAAGACAGAGATTGTAATTCAATGCTTTGAAAAGTTGTAAAGCATTGAGTAAAGTAGCCTTAATTTAATGCTTTTTTGTAGCTTACAATTTGCCTCTAATTTTCAACACTTGAGCCATTGGCCAAGTTTTTGACCAGTATCAAACTTGAAACAATTTCACAAAATATCAAACTGTCAAGGATTTAATAAGATTATGGACTTTTATAAGTATGTAATATATCACCTTTTATTTTGCAGTATGGATGGAGCAGATTTATGCTTTGAGATTGTCAAGAGGGCGTCCATGGGCTTTGTCTACAGTGAAGCTGTATCAAGGTTTGGCCATTGGTTTTCTGTGATTAATAGTAAATTCTCTGACCTGCGTAAATCTGAATTATCTTCTGAAGTGAGAGTTTGTGGATTATAAAATTTTTTTCTGATCATTATATTTTTATATATATAGTTAATATTCTTGGAATTTCAAAAAATGACTTGTTAGCTGACCTTTGACATCATAAGAATTTTGGATATGAAGTATACTGTGGAATCATTAAAATTCGTGGGGGCAAATTTTCGGGGATTGCTTAAATTTTACAGGTTCTTTATAATGTAATTTTGTGTATTCTCTTATACCTACAAAAGAAAATATTACTTTGTAACCATAGCTTATTAATTCATGGAGGATGTTAATTCGAAGATGAGAGACACCCATGAATTCTACGAAAATTGAGCCACCACAAAATCTAATGATTCCACATTAATCAGTGAATTTTTGTGTGAATATTGCCTACTAGAGCTTCTGTATTAAGGATTTGACGGACAACCGTAATGCCCCAAAATATAAAAAAAGATTGCCTTTTATTGATATTAGCTTGTGGTGAAAGAAATTGTCATTTTGTGAAAATATGGAATATTTATATGAAAAATTCAGACGAAACTCTCAATTTTATGTTATTGGATTTTCAGCTCATCTGAGTAATAGGCTCTAGAGCTTTTCTAATTGGGTTGTCTGTTAGTTGCCTAGCTGTTGGTCTTTCTGTATTGTCTGTCTGCTTTTCTATTTTTTTTAAAGGTATTTTTATCAGTTTTATGCATTTTTAATGATGGTGCCCTTTAGTAATCACCCTGTCCATCTGTCTGTCCATTTATACACCAATCAGTCAATTTGTTTGTCAACACTTTTATGTGATGCAGTAAGTGTTTTCACACTCATTTGTGGGAAGGGAAATGTGATAGGGTGAGCACTGTGACAAGGAACTCTTATTGGTTTATTGTGGAAAACAACATTTGATACATGTCCTGCATTTTACTTCAGAAAGAATTATTTTTAAATTGTTTGAGTGTCTTGATTTATTTTCAGCCATTACATGAGACAGATTCTTGATGCCTTAAGATACTGCCATGCCAACAACATTATACACAGAGACCTCAAGCCACACTGTGTGTTATTGGCCAGCAAGGAAAACTCTGCCCCAGTTAAGCTGGGGGGATTTGGGGTGGCTACCCAGCTCCCTGAGTCAGGTTTTATATCTGGAGGTATGCCTCACTGTTTACCTTATGATCTGCATATGCTCCAATGTTTTTTTTTTTAATTTTCTCACATTATATTGTGTTTTGTGAATAGATTATCTGTTTACATGATTACTGTCAAATCACATATTTTTCTATGGTCAGATTTTCGTGTTTTGAGGGAAAAAAAATAGGGCCGTGGGGATTTGATTTCATAAATGAAGAACAACGAATATGAAACCCCACGAAAATTAGTGATTTCACAGTACCTTATTGATGTGAGTTATGAAATTCTTCAAGTGTTAAAGCACAGTAAAAATTATTGCTACAAATTGCATGAGGTGTAATTTATTGAGATTCACTTTTCATAAAAAAAGAAATATTACCTTTGCCTTCCTGAATCTTTATTTAGAAGAAAAATGCACAGATAAGAACTGATGTCATTAATTAGATAATAGTATTTTATAAACATAATTAAATAATTTTTTATACCCAAGTGTGATTTCATGGAGATTAATTTTTTCTTCAAATTTTGAATAAGTAGTGAATATTGATGTTGTGGTATATAATTTCAGGGTAAAACTTCTTGGGGGATTTAATTTTAGTGAAGAATGTTATCCAGAATGTAAAATATAACCCTTAACAAATATTTGTGCTTCAGCAGTATGTTCCTTAGAGAAATTTCATATGTACCCCTATCATTAGATACCTAATACCTATTGTGCCCTGCTGACTTGAATGTTATTTTCAAGAGCAAGATAAAAAAAAAATTAATGCTGTTAAGACACAAAGTTTAAAATATTTTTGTGCTTCTTAAAAAGTGTACATAATACACATGACTTTATGGTAAGCAGAAATGAATTGCATTTGGACTTAATGTCATTGAAGGCATATTATGATCTGTTTAATCAATCTAAATAAAACTTACATCTCAATGATAACTTATGAACTCAACAAGTTGGAGACTTGAGAGTTTGTCAGAGGAAAGGATAAGGTCAATATTTGGTGTAAGGTCAAGGCTTAGTGTCAGGTCAAGGTCATACTTAAAAGGTTAAAGGTCATTTTCAAATTTCCCTCCTTAGGAAAATATATATCTTATATTTCTAAGATGGGGGGGGGGGGGGGCAGGTATTTCAGAAATTCATTTAATTTTATATAATCAAAATATGTGATATCACCAAGAAACTGCATATTATCAAATGATGCCTAAATTAATGACTGTATCGTAGAAAAATATAATGGTACATCATGTAACTATGGAGCTTGTCTGTTGAAAATTCTCTAATTTTTCATGAAGGATAGATGATCATGCATGGCACAATATAACTGTTATGTTCATACTGAATTTTGTCAACTTTCAATGTCTTACCAGAATATATATTATGTATACTGTATGTGTGCTTTTTTTTAGTGAAATTCAAATTTTAGAGACATACACATTATGAACTCATAGCCTATTTATGATTATGGCAAAAATATTAATATACTTATTCATAAATTCATCAATACCTCAGAGAGCATGCTAATTCACAATTACAGTAAGTTGTGTATGACCTACATCGGTGCTAAAAGTAAGTCCACATACAGTACTATCCTTGATCAAAGCCACAGTCACTCCATGATTTCTGGCTCTCTCTACAATATTTGGGGTCATGGCCATGATGTAACATGTTACATGGTGTGACTGGGGCTTTACTGTAACCTCTGTTTTGTCTGTGTATACCAGTGCTAATATACAGTATAACCTGAATGTTGTGCCCCCTCTATTGATGTTGTTTGACTATGACATTACAGATGAGGAAATAGTGCATGGGTTGGAACCTTGGTTTGATCTGAGAAATGATGTAGTTGGTGAGCTCTCTATATATAGCTGTGTGGCAAGTGACCCTGGTAGAAGCTACTAACAAATTACACTGCTTAATAATATCTCACATTAGATGTACAACTAGTACACAGTCACACTGTTAATGTAGGGTTGCAAGATACATCAATATATCATAAACATGGTGCTTTTATTAGTGATCTTTGTTCACTGGGGCTTGTATTTAGATTTTCCAACCATGACGGATAAATTTTCAGCTTCCTAAGTTCAATATGGAAATCACCAGCTTATCTGTGTAGTATGAATTAGACTGAATGGTCCAAATGACCAGGACTAATTGACGAGCATTATTAACTGTTAAGTTGATGTCCATCATATATGTCCAGTAATGATGGACTCTCAATGTCCATCAGTCAATGCAGGCCAGTATAAGCTGAGCAGTAATGGTTAAGTGTCTGATCAGAGCAATATCAATACATAGTGTCTGACCCACTCTGCTTTAGGTGCACTAGTACTCCCAACTGCTTCTCTGCAACAAGCCAGGCAATTTAACTATAAAGGAAGGTGCTCATCACTCTATTTTCCTGTATTTTAATCACAACCCTCCTATTTTCAGATTTCATATATGCAGAAAAAATGACTTTATGAAAGATAATACACTGAAAGTCCTAAATTTTGTCAAGATTAAGAAAGTCAGAATTTGTGATTTGTTGGGGGAAAATAGACCAAGTCTAAAGGTTATGTTTAGTTAAGGTCAATCCAGGTTCCATGCTTATTGTGTCATTGTAGCATATTGTACAAATATATATGTATATATTTGCTTAATCAAAAAGTAAGTCATAGTAGCATATTGTATATTTGCTTAGTCTTAAAGTAAGATAAGTAACAGGTAATAGTTCATTCTTTTGTTTTCCTTTGTTTTTTAGTCAGCCTTTTGTTACTGTGATCACAAATTGCATGTTGCATTGTATATACATGTACCAGCATATGCTTGTATCAATTATGTATAGTGTCTCTTGTGGTTTGACTCTTAATGTTGCTTACATGAATCAACCTTCTATGGAATGGTTATTTATATATCTACATCACTCGATACTCAAAACATGTGTCAAGTATGATGTGACATTAGTATATAACACATACCATGTAACCAGTATGCACAGAAAGGCAATCTGTTTTTAATCAAAGAACCTATTACTTTAATTAAGCATCAACTTTCAGAGGCAATTTAATGTAAATTTAACCCCTTAATACAGATGTCTTACTAGTGCATACAATTTAATTGCTAAATGCCAAATGCAATGCCTTATTGTTTTCCATGATAATTTACTCTCTTCTTCTGTAATCATCAGTTTGGCATACACTGTGTTAACTGTTGCAGATATCTTTTATATACATTATTAGCTCACCTGAGCTGAAAGCTTAAGCTTTTCTGATCACCCGTTGTCCATCGTCCGCCCGTCCATCTATAAACTTTTAACATTTTCAACTTCTTCTAAGAACCACTGGACCAATTTTAACCAAAGTTGGTACAAAGCATCCTTGGATGAAGGGGAGTTTAAATTTTAATATGAAGGGCCAAGACTCATTCCAAGGGGAGATAATGGGGTGGGGTCATTAAAAAATCTTCTTAAGAACTACTTGGCCAGAAAAGCTGAAACTTATGTGTAAGCTTCCTGAGTTAGTGTAAATTATAAATTGTTCAATTCATGGCCCCGGGGCTAGGGTGGGGCCACAATAGGGAATCAAAGTTTTACATTGAAATATATAGGAAAAATCTTTAAAAATCTTCTTTCTAATAACCACTGAGCCAGAAAAGCTGAAATTTATATGGAAGCTTTCTCAGGTAGTATGGCTTCTTCATTGTTAAAATTATGACCCCCAGGGCTAGGATGGGGCCACAATAAGTATTACAAGGGGGAAAATCTGGTGAAGAACAGCAGGGCCAAAGTTACTCAGGTGAGGGTTGTGGCCCATGGGCCTCTTGTATAATTTTGAAATTTCTCCTTTTGGACAGATTTTAACATAATTTTGATTTGTATTTTTTTTAAAGCATTGGTTTAGGGTAATTCTTCTAAGTAATTTTTGCATCAATTAGTTTTTGGTAAATGTGAATTTAGCATTCCTGAGTTATTTCCTGTTGGCAGCCATATTGGAGCTAGGTCAACGTGCTCAGATTCCATCATTATTTAACCAAATTTAACTTGTCATACTGCCCACTGAGCTGTAGAAAATACTGTTTCTGAAGAATACACTTTTGTTAAAGCTTCCCTTAATTCATAATTTTCATAAGGTGTAAAGATTTTCCCCATATGTTCATACAGTTGAACTTCAGTATCTCAAACACCGATATCTCAAATACTATGGATGTGTCAAAGTGATTTGGAAGTCCCAAACACATATTCTTCAAGTATTTTACCCTCGATATCACAAATACTCAGATATCTTGAAGTTTTTTCTTGGTTCCATGGAGTTCAAGATAAAGAGGTTTGACTGTATTAATCGAAGTGGCTATGTAGCTCTGTGAAGAGCTACAGTCTTGAATGATATGATAGCCTAGCTGCTACATAGGAATGAAAAATGTTAATTCATACCTTGCATTCAATAGACTGAGATATCTAGCACAGGTTGACCTCCAACATGGGGAATAACTCAGAGTGAAATATGTCGTACAAAATACTATTAATTCATTCAGCAAAGATATTATTGGGTTCATTTGCTGTGGGATAAAAAATGCTTTTCTACTTTGTTCTGCTGTGCTTCAATTACATATGCTTTTTCAAGGAAGTAGTGATATTGAGATTGAAAGATTCATGTGTTTATATATGTTGAGTGATACAAACATGAGTGAAAATGGGTTGTTTAAAAATTAAAAAATCACTTATTTTATTCTAAGTTACAACCTACCTGTAACAAACAATCATCTTTTAATTTTTTTTAAGATTCAGTAACAAAGTAGAATGTCTACCTTGATTTATTAAATGTCTTCTTTTTTTTGTGCATTTGATAAATTGATAAATTTTTGCATACACTTTAATATAATATATATAAATTAGAACCACACTTTGTAAGAAATCTAGGTTTTTTTGTTTTTTTCTTTATTATCAAGAGGCTTCCATAGATGATATACAATTTCAAAGCTGTATTAAATATTTACCACATTTTGACAGGTCGCATTGGTACACCCCAGTACATGGCCCCAGAGGTAGTTAAGAGAGAGCCCTATGGTAAACCAGTGGATGTGTGGGGCTGTGGAGTCATGTTATTTACCCTCCTAGGAGGTCATCCACCTTTTGTCGGGACCAAAGACCACTTGTTTGAACAAATTGTTAAAGGCAGCTACCATGTAGGTGAACAGAGATACTCTGTTTAATATGTAGTGCTGAAGTTTTGATTTTAGCTTTCATGCCAAAACGGTTATATTTGTGGTGTAGTGTATGCAGCTTACACTGCACCACTGGTTACCGGTATCTTCTAAGGCAGTACATCTCTCTATAGTCATGTGTTATAATTATTGTGGTGTACTATAAAGACTTCATCTCCACGGCAGTCTTTTATTTAGCTTCCTGTCTGTCTCGTTTGACATCTGAAATGTGACATAAATTTTAATTAAGAGACATACTTTACCATTCTTCATAGTCAACAGAATGCCAAAATGCCAATGAAAATTTTCTGTCACCAGAGGCATATCATTTGACAGGTTTCCCACAAACACAGTTTTTATGCCCCCATAATCGAAGATTCTTGGGCATATAGTTTTTGGTCTGTCCATCCGTCTGTCTGTCTCTTTGTTTGTTAATGCTTTTTGTCCACAAATACTTTAACCTGGCTCTTTTGAATAGTGGATGCTTGAGCTTTCATATTTCACATGTGTATTCCTTGTGACAAGACCTTTCTTTGGGTACCAAAAGATTTGACCTCTTGACCTTGGAATTTGACCTACTTTTGCAAAAATTTACCAAACTTTAACCTTGTCCATAACTTTGAACAGTTGGAGCTAGGGCTTTTATATTTCACATGTATATTCCATGTGTCCAGACCTTACCTAGGGTACCAACATTTTTAGCTCTTCTGAGCCAAAGGCTCAAAGAGCTAATGCTATGGCCATTTGTGCGGTGTGCGGTGTGCGTAAACTTTTTAGAATATGGGCCATAACTCAAGAACCCTTTGGCCAATTATTGTCAAATTTGTCACAGAGTATCCTTGGCCCAAGGGCTCCCTTTTATACTAAAACTGGGGTTGTGACCCTTTAACAAGGGGAGATAATTAGGAAAATAGAAACAAAAGTACTGGTTGCTAAAAAATCTTCTTCTCAAGAACCACTGGGCAGATTATCACCAAACTTACACAAAAGGATGAGGATATGTTGTAGATTAAAATTTGCACGGGGATTTACCCTGGGGCAAAGGGCGTGGTCTCAAGGCCACTTCAAAGTTGACCAAAAATTACATTTTATTAAAATGTTGATATTTTGCTTACTATAAGGACTAGGATCATCAAATCTTGTCAGTTGGTGCATCTAAGGACCTCATATCATGTTGACTCAAAAGTAGGTCACGGTGACCTTTTTAAATTTTGCGGCCATTCTTTTTCAAAATGATTTAGAGGCATATTTTGAACAATTTAAGGCCTATGATCATCAAACTTTGTCAGTTGATGCATCTTGGGTCCTCAAAGTACGTCAACTAAAAAGTAGGTCACCTTGACCTACTTTTTGAATTTAATGGCTAATCTTTTTTAAAACAATTAAGGTCATTAATTCGAATACGGGGAGGCTTAGAATCATTAAATCTTGTAAGATGATGCATCTTGGGGCCAAAAAACATAATTATTAAAAAGTAGGTCACAGTGACCTACTTTTTGAACTTTGCAGGCATTCGATTTCAAAGCATTTTAGAGGCATAATTTGGACATTTTAAGTCCTATGATCATAAAACTTTGTAAGTTGATGCATCTTGGGTCCTCAAAAAAGGTCAAGTGAAAAGTAGGTCACCGTGACCTACTTTTCAATTTATATGACTATAATTAAATATTTCAGGTACTAATTGGCTTAGAATCATCAAACTTTGTCATTTGATGCATCTTGGGTCTTCGGGGAAGGTCGACTAAAAAGTAGGTCACAGTGACCTACTTTTGAAAATTTATGGCGTTAATTAAATATTTCGGGTACTAATTGGCTTAGAATCATCAAACTTTGTCAGTTGATGCATCTTGGGTCTTCAGAGTAGATCGACTAAAAAGTAGGTCACCATGACCTACTTTTGAAAATTTATGGCTTTAATTAAATATTTCGGGTACTAATTGGCTTAGAATCATCAAACTTTGTCAGTTGATGCGTCATGGGTCTTCGGAGTAGGTCGACTAAAAAGTAGGTCACCGTGACCTACTTTCGGAAAATTTATGGCTTTAATAAAATATTTCGGGTACTAATTGGCTTAGAATCATAAAACTTTGTCAGTTTATGCGTCATGGGTCCTCGGAGTACAACAACTGAAAAGTAGGTCACGGTGACCTACTTTTGAAAATTTATGGCTTTAATCAAATATTTCAGGTACTAATTGGCTTAGAATCATTAAACTTTGTCAGTTGATGCATCTTGGGCCCTCGGAGTACAACAACTGAAAAGTAGGTCACGGTGACCTACTTTTGAAATTTTATGGCTGTATTTAATATTTTCAGGAATTATTTGGCTTAGAATCGTCAAAATTTGTCAGTTGATGCATCTTTGGTCCTCGGAGTAGGTTGACTGAAAAGTAGGTCACTGTGACCTACTTTTGAAAATTTATGGCTGTAATTAAATATTTTGGGTACTTATTGGCTAGAATCATCAAACTTTGTCAGTCGATGTATCTTTGGTCCTCGGAGTACAGCAACTGAAAAGTAGGTCATGGTGACCTACTTTTGAAAATTTATGGCTTTAATTAAATATTACAGGTACTAATTGGCTTAGAATCATCAAACTTTGTCAGTTGATGCATCTTGGGTCCTTGGAGTAAAACAATTGAAAAGTAGGTTACTTTGACCTACTTATAAAATTTTATGATTATAATTTTAAAAAATATTTTAGGTATTAATTGGCTTAGAGTCATCAAACTTAGTTGATGGGTCCTCAGAGAATGACAAGTGATAAGTAGGTCACCTTGAGCAAATCTCCGGTACTAATTGGCTTAGAATCATCTTGGGTTCTCAGAGTGTGAATTGGAATTTCAAGGGTTTATGTAAATATACAGGATACTTCGAGGCTTCAAATAGAAGTGATAGGTTGTACAGTTAATCAGAAGAGCGATTCAAGGCCCATGGGCCTCTTGTTTCCTTTTCAACCTTGACCTTGGAACTTGACTTACTTTTGAAAAACTTTAACCTTGGCCATAACTTTTGAAGGTATGTGCTACATGTAGGACTTTCATATATCATATGTATATTTTTTTTTTTTACCTCATGACCTTGATCTTGGAGTTTGATGTACATTTGAGAAAAATTTAACCTTGCCTATAACTTTTGAGTGGTTGCTGCTAGGACTTTCATACATGTATTTCACTTATGCCTTCCTTGTGACAAGATCTTTCCTATGGTACCATTATTTTTAGCTCACCTGAGCTGAAAGCTCAAGTGAGCTTTTCTGATCACCTGTTGTCCGTCCGTCTGTCTGTCCGTTCGTCTGTCCATCTGTCCGTCCTTCTGTAAACTTTTCACATTTTCGACTTCTTCTCAAAAATCACTGGGCCAATTTTAACCAAACTTGGTACAAAGCAACCTTGGGTGAAGGGGAGTTTAATTTGTTAAAATGAAGGGCCAAGTCCCCTTCAAAGGGGAGATAATCAAGAAAATACAAAAATTGGGTGGGGTCATTAAAAAATCTTCTTCTCAAGAACCACTGGGCCAGAAAAGCTGAAACTTATCTGGAAGCATCCTAAGGTAGTGTAGATTCTAAATTGTTCAAATCATGACCCCCGGGGGAAGGGCGGGGCCACAATAGGGAATCCAAGTTTTACATTGAAATATGTAGTAAAAATCTTTAAAAATCTTCTTCTCAAGAACCACTGGGCCAGAAAAGCTGAAACTTACTTGGAAGCATGCTGGGGTAGTGTAGATTCTAAATTGTTCAAATCATGACCCCCGGGGGTAGGACAGGGCCACAATAGGGAATCCAAGTTTTACCTTGAAATATATAGGAAAAATCTTTAAAAATCTTCTTCTCAAGAACCACTGGGCCAGAAAAGCTGAAACTTATGTGGAAGCATGCTGGGATAGTGTAGATTCTAAATTGTTCAAATCATGACCCCCAGGGGTAGGGCGGGGCCACAATAGGGAATCCAAGTTTTACATTGAAATATATAGGAAAAATCTTTAAAAATCTTCTTCTCAAGAACCACTGGGCCAGAAAAGCTGAAACTTATATGGAAGCATGCTGGGGTAGTGTAGATTCTAAATTGTTCAAATCATGACCCCGGGGGTAGGGCAGGGCCACAATAGGGAATCCAAGTTTTACCTTGAAATATATAGGAAAAATCTTTAAAAATCTTCTTCTCAAGAACCACTGGGCCAGAAAAGCTGAAACTTATGTGGAAGCATGCTGGGATAGTGTAGATTCTAAATTGTTCAAATCATGACCCCCAGGGGTAGGGCGGGGCCACAATAGGGAATCCAAGTTTTACATTGAAATATATAGGAAAAATCTTAAAAAATCTTCTTCTCAAGAACCACTGGGCCAGATAAGCTGAAACTTACTTGGAAGCATCCTGGGGTAGTGTAGATTCCAATTGTTCAAATCATGACCCCTGGGGATAGGGCGGGGCCACAATAAGTACTACAGGGGGGGGGGGAGAGAAATCAGGTGAAAAACAGCAAGGCCAAAGTTACTCAGGTGAGCGCTGTGGCCCATGGGCCTCTTGTTTTTTGTCCTTTGATTGACCTTGAAATATGACTTTCTTTTTGAAAAAAAACTTTAACCTTGGCTATATTTTCTGAATGGTTGATACTAGGGCTATTGTATTTCACATGTGTATTCCTTGTGACAAGACCTTTCTTGGGGTATCTACATTTTTGAACTCTTAACAATGACCTTGGAGTTTGACCAACATTTGATAAAGTTTAACCTTGGCCTTGAGCAGCCACATGGGAGCATAAGTGTTTCACAAACACATCTTGTTTAGTGTAGGATTTGATTTACAGGGTAGGAATGTATTCTTTTACAGATGAAGAAACAATGGCTCAATATTTCTAACTATGCAAAAGATTTAGTCAGTCAGATGTTGGAAGTGGATCCAGAGAAACGCATCACTGTGGAGGAAGCATTACAGCATCCATGGATCAAGGTATTTTATAACACATTTGTAATCCAGCAATCAATAGTGTCAATAGCTGATTGTCAACATTTTGTGTTGGGTGTTTGGGGAGGGGGTACAACAAGAGGTTTCATTTGCAATGAATATTGTATACAAGCTATATAACACTTGTAAATGATTTTTCCATGCTTTAAATTCACCCAGACACAGTTTTGTTTAAGAGATAATGCTATCCTATTTAAATTTGCCCTGTTTTAAATTTCCCTTATTCAGTCATTTTTAATTACAAGGTAACTTGGATCTAGGCTGAGCTCTGTGACTCATGGGCTTTTTATATTTTGTTTGCTTTTTAGTGGTTCATTCATTTGTATATAAATCTACCTAGCTTGATAATTTTCATCCCTTTTCCTTAATTCTTGGTTTAAAGCTAACCCTTTGAGTGAATGGGTTGTGTGAAATATCAATATTCACCCGTGTATCTTTTTCATTAATCTGCCAAAAGTGCATCATCATTAATTAGAAATGTGCATGAGAATGTATAGTAACAAGTAAGAATTAAGGCAAAAAAAAAGCCCAACCCAGTTGTGGTTAAAACTTGAAGCATATTTTATGCTCTTTGTAGTGTTGCAACATCAGCTGATAGTCTCGATCTCTGAGAACCTTGAATACTACAGTATATGTAAATTGAATGACAAACATTGCTTGAACATTAATGCTGTGCTTCCATGTAATATGTCAGAAGTTTTTGAAAATGGATGATTGTACAAGGACAGTGGGGGTTCTTAAGATATATCTGAGATTTGACTTCCTTTTTAGGAGAGAGGAAAAATCCCCAAAGTTCACCTACAGGAGACGGTGGAGGAACTGAAAAAATTCAATTCTAGGAGGAAATTGAAGGTAATTCAGGAACAAATTGTGTTAGAAAGGATTGATATCAATAAGTTAGTGAGCTCTGCTTTCTGTGAAAGATTTGTAATCATGTGGGCATTGTAATTTCTAATGTGAAAAAATTACCAGTACCTTGAATATGTTTATTTCTCAGAATCATTTAAAGAGCAATTAACCCTTAGAATTTAAAAATTAGAAAGAACATGGCTAAGAATACACATGTACTAGACAAATAAGCTTTGCATAGGAACAGAGGCAGGGGAGAAGTAGTCATTACATGCTTTCCCAGACCACACAGCAGATGAAATTTGATTACCATGGCAATGATTGTCAACTTCTATGGTAACCAAATGTAGAGATGCTTGATTACTCTTTGATTGGAAAGATGTTCTGCAGAAAATGTCATCATATGGTTAGATAAGCCATTAAGAAATCATTAAAAAGGTCAAGGCCATAAAGTTGTTCATTAAGTCCTCAGATCAAGAAATTATGTGTCAAGGAGCCCACCCATTTTGATTAAGCTTAAAGTGTAAATAGTCTTTTTTTGTTGTTGACTTGGCACTAAGAATCTTTGCTAATATGTTACAAGCTTCAATAAAAAAAATGATAGTGTTTTTATGCCCTGCTATGAATATGGCCGGGGCATATACCGGTAATGTTTGTCATGTCCATTCTTCCATCTGTCACACTTTGCGTTTAGTTCATTTTCAAAGAACTTTTAAAGATATTTTAACAAATTTATATGCTGATACATAATGATGAGAACTATTCGACTGCATCACCATCTTTTACTTTGACCTTTCATTTGACCTTGACCTCACTTTTTTTATATTTGTCTCTGTTCCAAAGAAAATATTCAAGATATTTTTATCAAACTTCATGTACAGAATATATATAATGATTAGAGCTATTCAACTGCATCAACATTATTTGACAATGACCTTTCCTTTAATCTTGACATCACTTTTCTTAGCATTGTGTTTAGCTCAGTTTCAAAGAAACTATTCAAGATATTTTTATCAAACTTCATATGCTGATACATATTGCTGAGAGCTATTCAAATGCATCGATATTTTTTACGTTGACCTTTCCTTTGATCTTGGCCTCACTTTTCTTTATTTTGTGTTTAGCTCAGTTTCAAAGAAATTATTTAAGATATATTTTTTCAAACTTCATATGCTGATACATAATAGTGAGAGCTATTCAACTACATGAAAAATTTTTGACTTTGACCTTCCTTTTGACCTCACTTTTAACGAATTTGCAATTAGTTCATTTTCAAAAAAAAAATCAAGATATTTTTATCGAACTTCATATGCTGATCTTGGTGATTGCTTTTGAACTGCGTCAAATTGTTTTTACCTTAACTTGTTCCTAACCTCACTATTCATAAATTTCCATTTAGCTCAGTTTCAAAGAAACTGTTCAAGATATTTTTATGTAAGCTTATGCAATGGTACATAATTTGGTGAGAATTTATCAACTGTGTCCAATTTTTTTTTTACCTTGACCTTCCCAGTGACCTTTGACTTTACTATTTATTGTGTATAATAAACTATTCAAGATATTTTCATCAAACTTAATACACTAATACAAATTTTCATGTTGTATTATTTATGAGCCCTTGGCTAGGCATTCATGTCCTGTGTACATATTTCTAGTTTTCTTTTTGACTGGTGAATAAGTTTTTGCTAACTCTCATATTTGCTTCTCTAAGCTAACAAAATTTTGCATTAAAAAAGTATAAAATATGATTCAGACATATTCAAGTAATCTTATTTTCAAAAACCATTTCTTAGGGTGCAATAATGGCAGCTGTGTCAAGTTCAAAGTGGAACACATTTTATAATGACCCAGTTGTTCCGGACTTGAGTGAAGAAGAGGTCACTTCTGCTGGTGAGTTAGCTCCCTTCTTTTTCCAATAAACAATACCTAGTGAAATAGTGGAATGGGTTAAAAAAAACTTACTTGCCATATCAATACAAAGTAAAACAGAAATTCAATTTTTGTGAAGTTATTTTTCAATTTAGAACTGGGATTTCCGTGATGATGTACATCAAATAAAATTGATAAATATTATTTTTGATTGCCTAAGATATAATTTGTCTTCGTCATTTATGCAAATTATCACACAAGCCAAAAAATCTGACAGTTATTCCTTATATTTACATGATTCTGTAAATTAAAAGAGCTCAATCCAAGCTCTGCTACTTCTCTTTCTCTCATGCCCTGCACATGATTTTTTTAACCAGGCCTATCGATGAAACAAAAGCTTTATGTAGAAGTCAAATTATTTATTATTTGTAATTCTATCTCGGACAAAGAAATCTGAATATGTAAATATTTTTATCTAAGCATTGAATCGCTATACCTGTGTATTGCTGTATAAGATGATGAAGAGGGTTTCTTTTTTACACAAGGAGCTGTGTCTCAGGTACTGGACTCCCTGGAGGAGATGCAGTGTCTAACAGATTATACCGGCGAGGAAAAAGACCTCATCGAAAAAGTCTTCCAGGATACCAAACTGCATGCTCTGTTGTTGGTGAGTACAAAGAAGTTTAAACTGAATTGGAGACAGGAATAAACTCTGGGATTGTAGAGAGATTTATTTAAGAAGCTATGCCTAACTAACCCAACCCAGGGTTAGGGTTAGAATGTCTTCTGATAATGAGAGGGCTCTGCTAGAATTTGTTATACTTGTCTTCAAAATTCTACAATTTTGCACTTCTTGGTGAAAGATTTAGTATTACCAGTAGTCTTCACTAGTTTTAACAAAGATTTTGTATATGACAAGGGAGACAACTCAAAAAGAAATATTAAAAAGGCTTTTTGGTATCTATATTTAAAAAATTTACCAAGGCATATAAAACATTTACCTGGAGGATTTAATTTTGAATTCTATCCTCTTAACTCATTTCTTGTGCCCCAGGGCACTGGCTTCCATGTTAAATTTTTTGGCTGGAGTGTGCAGACATTTTTGCAGTCAGGGATGCAGGGAGCAAGCTGAAGGCATAGTTTCATCAATTGCAACTTTTCATGATTTTCCAATGAGCTTTTTTACTGACTTTTCCAGAAAGATCTTGAGAAGAGGGAATTAGAGATTTATTTTATTAGTTAGCAGAAAAACCAACCAGACTGATGAGGCAACAATAATGAGTTGGCAGACCACATATTCGAATTGCATAAGCTTCTGAAAAAACAAAACTGTGTTTCAATGATTAAATGAAACTTTGGAGAGAAAAGAAGGTTAATTGCTCCTAATAAGCTGAATTTGGTGCTGAAAATGAGTGAGAAATTTGGATGAACCAGTATTCTTTAATAAATTTACAAAGACACAAAGGTCAGATTATATTCAACTCTTTTAGAGGAGGGTATATAGTATATAAATCTTTGCTGGACCTATTTCCTTTAGCACAAAAGTGCTTTGATTTTAATATATTATAAAGCGATATAACTCAGTTGTTAGAAACTGCCACTCCCCCCTATTTTTTTTACTATATGTAAATTATATATAAAAAAAATAATGGTTTACATGTTGCATCTGCTGTGACCATGGCCATGAGATTAATATTGCTGTAAGGTTAATTTAATCCAGTTGAATGAACAATAAAAGGGACAGAAATGGGCTACAGTAGTAAGTAGTATGAACATTTTGGTTTGACGATTTGAAAGTCACTGTGAAAAAATCCTAGGTAAACATTTTGTTATTTATATTTTTCTCCTTCTGGGACATTGTCACAGAAAAGGCTATCAATTTTGTGTATCAATCACAAAATCGTGAAATTTCATAGAAATAAACAGCAAAACAAGATCATCAGATTCTAAGTCCATATTGTTGGTTAATATATGTTATTTTAATATTCTTTTTTTATACAAACAGTGCCAAATAAAATGTCAGACTGGTGTACAAATTCTGGCTTACTGTATTTGATGTCAGTAAAATAAGTTGGGTACCAAATTTGTATTTTTCTTAACTTAAAAATTAAATGTAAAAGTTGCTAATAAAAAAGATATAAGTAAATCACATTACAACTATCTGTCTTCATTTCATGCAATTCTGCACTAGACAAGGGCTGAATTCTTTTATGGGGTGAACAAATTATGTGAAAACTAAGTTTTTTAAACATATTTTAAAATAGTCTTTGGGGCATGTTGAATTTTTGTGCTGTGTTATAAGAGCTTCCACTTCATTTTCAAGCACCTGCTCGACTTCCACCAAAACAAAGCTGGATGGCTATGTATTTTTGGATACTAAAACATCTAAAGCATTTAACATGATATGAATGAAAATAAACCCAGAGGTATTTTATCTTCTTATAATAATTATAAAGTTGCACATTGTGTAAGATTATATATAGAAAAAATTATACTGCATGGTGTTCAACCTGCATTAGTTGTATTCATGCACTTAAATTTACATAAAGATTCATCACATATGGATGAAAATGATTTGAAGATGCAGTAAATCAAAAGAAATAAAAAGTATGCGTAGAAATCATATTTGCCAAATTAACTTGTGAAGAGGTAGTGCTGTAAAGAGTAGCCTCGCTTTGTCTGTGAACCGTCAGATCTTTTTACATCTATTGATTTGTGGGTGGTATATTGGGCTAAGAATAAGAAATACTAGATACAGCTGATATAGGATAACTAGACACTTCTGGCAACAACTGATGAATCTGACATTTTCCTTCAAGATTTGTATATCACTTGTGTCTGATTATCAAATGCTTTGAAAAATAAATGTGATTTAATGGTAATTTTAGAAAACCTTGATAAAGATACTAGAGCCTTTTCTGCCTATGAGTGCATGAGAAGTGTATTACATTCAGCCGATTTTATGTGGATAGTTTCAGATAATTCTAAAACAATTAGCATATTTTTAAGTCCCATCAGAATTAACTCAGAAATACAAATGAACTTTTATGAAATGTCTATAATGCTAATGAAGTAAAGTGGTACAGTAAAATTTGTCTAATCCGGACTCTGAGTACTCCGGAATTTTGTTCATTTCGGCTATAAATTTTAGTCCCATGCACTCCTTTAACAAATGTATTATAAAAAATTCTGTGTAGTCCAGATACTGTCTATTCTGTATTCCGAACGGTCAAATTGGTCCCAACTACTCATAATTAACAGTAATTATTTCTTCTAATCCGGCCACGCAGAATTATCTGCATCACTTCAATGCAGTTAACACCTTTCATGTGCTAACGTGTGTTTACATAAGTGTCATTAGATGAACTGAAACGCGGTGGTGACACAACCCACTTGAAGAAATATAAAGTAAAGTTACAAGTAGTTTTTAAAAAATGCTTACATGTTAAACTTGCTTTCAACTCCATATCACACTGTTTAACATAAAATCAATGACAATTTAGGTACACGATTTACAAATCAAAATATAAATTAGCTCATTTCAAAATGGCGCCATAACATTGAAGGGACTACGTAAATGTTTACATAAAAATTAAAATGTCAATTCAATAAGTATCAAACCGTAAATAATTGTGTTTATGGGTATTAAAATATTAAGTTCCAACTTGCAAAACCCACACTTGATATACTCATGTCTATAGATTTTGACTCCGTTAACAGTTCACGTTGAAAGTCTCAAACTTTCTGAACGAAAAAGAATAATTGACAGTAAGTCCTGCGATTAACTTCTGGATAATTTAAGACTCCATAAATATCAAACAATTTTGTCATTTAATTGTATTTTCCCAACATATGCATTGTACTTGTTAATAAAACAATATATATTTCAAGTATATTCCTGCATTTTTCCTGCACTCCGGATTCTGTCTAATCCGGCCAAATTTTACAGAACTGTTGGTGTCTGGTTTGGACAAATTATACTGTATACTCTGTAGAAACAGATGATGCAAGCTTGATTATATCACTGAGTTTTTTTCAAATGTTACTTTATTAGCTCACCAGAGCCGAAGGCTCAAATGAGCTTTTCTGATCAAAATTTTCTGCTGTCTGTCATTGTTGTCATCAATGACATCGTTGTTGTTGTAAACTCTTTACAATTCTTTTTCTTCTCCAGAACCACAGGGCTAATTTCATCCAAACTTGGCAAAGAGCATCCTTTGGTGAAGGCCGGGGATTCAGGTTTGGTCAAATGAAGGGCCACACCCTTTTTCAAAGGGAGATAATTAAGAATTAGTGAAAATTAATGGTATCTTTTAAAAATCCTCTTCTCAAGAAACACTGGGTCAGAAAAGATGAAACTTGTGTGTAAGCAGTGTACCTTCAGTAAGGCCCCTCTAATCTACACACCTCTGTATCTTTTTGATTTCTTTTAACAAAAACTAACTAAGATGTGTAAAATTTTGCATTTTATGGGACAACTCTAATACAGTAAATTAGATTTTCCCTCAATACTCCTATGTTAAATATGATTGCCCATTATGGCCCCACCCTACCCCCAGGGGTCATGATTTAAACAAACTCGAATCTACATCTAATACAGTAATTTATACAGATTCTTCTCTCAAAAACTTGCTTAATAAGTTATAGTCATAAATTTTAGGTCAGTTGACCAATTTCCATAAAAGCTCATTATATTTCTGGTGATTATATATAAGGACTCTATGATCTCCATGTCATCTTCTAGAAGAAACCAGTTTCTACAAAAGAACATCAAATTTTTCAAAAAGCCATCAACAGTCAGCACTAGGAGCTGCATGTGCCATTATCTTGTGCAGCAGCAGTTGATCACTAAATAAACTAATAACTTTTTGCAGGGTGAACTATCCTATTAGTAATGGCTTCTGTCACAAAACATTGTTTTAGAAATATAAAAGCTATTCTCTGCGTTAATCTTCATTTTCCTTCTGCCAATTTTCTTTTGAAATCCATATCTGGTACAAATGAGACTGTTGTATATAATGATGATTTTTATGTGTTCAGCTTCAGAAAGCTCGCCAGTAATCATCAGTGTCCGATTTTGACATAAACAGAAGAAATTTACATCCCTTGTTTTTATGTGTTTCCTGATTCTAAGTAAGGAAGACTGGTCAAAAGCTTTTTCTCTCCAGCACTCAGGATAATAATGTCTTGTCATAATTGTGTGCAGCTATAACTGACACGATAAATAGACGAAAACAAGACTAATAGTCAATATTCAACCATTATTCAAGCTAAATAGAAGAAAGTATTCATTGTATAATATATGAATTAAAATGGAGAATTGGAAAAATAAGTGTCTTCATTGGACTCTATACTAATTTTTTCACTCAATATCTAATTGGTTAAATTTGTCAGTTTTCAGTTCCAAGTGTATAAAGGAACCAGTTTAACTTAAATACTAATTACAGAAGAGTTATGCTTTGAATTTAATTTTGTTTGAAAGAAGTATAAACTCTCTAAAGGTTTTATGAATACTTGAACAGTATAACAAAGGCCACAATTGACAAAGCAGCAGGAGATTACATATAGTTTGAAACACAATATTTTGTGACCTGATTATATAATGAATACATATCTGACAATTAATGGAGAAAGTTTTCTATTCTAATAGACTGCTCAGCATCCCTA